TTTCTTTTCTTTTCTTTTCTTTTCTTTTCTTTTCTTTTCTTTTCTTTTCTTTTCTTTTGAATGTTTCAAAGGAAGACAAATAGTATCCACAGCCTGTGTTCATCAAACACTGTTTCCCAGGTGGCATAAAAGGACCAGACATTAATGCGGCTTTTGATTTTTTAATACTATTTTTAATATTTTTATATCATTAAATCATATATTTAATGTACATCATTGCATTCTCATTGTCATTTTTTTCACATTAAAATCATGTTTACTTTTATTTATTTGTATTGCAGAGCGTCATTGTTCTATTGAGAAAAAAGAGCCACGAATTTCACATCAATTCAAAAGGTGCATTCCAAAATACTCGCATGAGCATGAAGACAAAACAGAATTTAATATGCCTGGATGGAACCCAGTCTATAACGTTAATGCAACAATGAGCTTGTTTGAGTTATGGGACCTTTGTCCCAAACCCTGGAGATATCGAACCGCACGATCGTTGAATTCTTTACCTTTTCAAGGAGCTGAGGTTTCCTATGATGGGGGAGGCTTTGTTGCTGACTTAGGTTACGATGTCGGACAAGCCATGGACGTAATTAATAACTTAGAATATCACAAGTGGATAGATGATAAAACTGCAGCTGTGATAGTTGAAATCACCGTCTTTGATCCAGCAACTTTACTTTTCAGTCACGTTAAATATCTATACGAGAGATTCACAACAGGTGGAACAAATGTACGAACAACAATTAAAACGCTGGTTTTGTATTCTTCATCAGATCAAACCTTTCAATCTTTCTACCAAGTTTGTCAGCTGATGCTCATGCTCATGATTCTTTTCTTCTTCTTCGTTGAAATCGGGAAGGTATACCGCCAAGGACGTGCGTATGTGAGACAATTCTGGAACTGGATGGAGCTAGTGCAGATTATCAGTGCTGTATCGGCTATCGTGATGTTCTTTTTTAAAGAGAAATACACTAGTGACTTCGTTCGAAAAGTGCAGAACAACCCTTACGAGACCTCGAGCATCGATTACATTATTTTGTGGTCAGATTTAGAGATATATTTGCTTTCTCTGGTTATTTTCATCGTCACGATCAAATTCCTTCGACTTATCAGATTCAATCGCAGCATATGCCAAATGACTGGAACTTTAGTAAGATCTGCTAAAAACATATGGTCGTTTTTCATCATTTTTGTTGCTATTCTTTTGGGGTTCACTCAACTGGGATTCCTTGCTTTTGGAGCCACAGTTACAGCCTACTCATCTTTTTTCCAGTCCTTACGCTCCGTTATGCAAATGCTCCTAGGAGGAGAAATGCATTTTTATGAGCTGCAATCTACAAATGGCATCATAGGCCCGATATTTACTTTTGTGTTTATGTTTTCCATGACCATGATACTATTAAACATGTTCCTAGCGATCCTTAACGAGTCGTACGAAGAAACAAGGGAGGACGAAAATTCTGATGATTTTGCTGATGCTGATCTCTGCGATTTCATGTTTTCTTACTTCGGAAGCAAGTATAAGCTGTTCCTTGAAGAATACAAGAATGTGCAAACCAAAATATTGTCAATTGCGGAACGCTTCATAAGACAAAGAAGAAAACGAAAAGAAGAAGAGTATCACAGGCTACATGCCGAAGAAGTTAAAGAAACAGATGTTTGCGAAGACGAGTCTAATCGAAAGAAAAGCGGTCTGGTTTTCCTTGCGTCCATCGAGTCGTTTCACGATCTTTTAAGTGATGAAAATTTAGATGACATAAAGAGTAACATTACTGATCTCAAACAATCTCTCACCTCCCTTCATTCGCTGGAAGGCAATAAATTGTTGCCCCTTCCAAAAGAGTATGAATCTCAGGCTTATGCATCGCCAAAATGGGACAGCCCAGAAGTCGAAATCAGCCCAGTTACCAGCTCGCAACAAACATCGATATTTGATCGGCCGCCGCCTTACGAAAGATCAATATTTGATCGGCCGTTAGAACCTGTTACTTCAATATTCGATAGACCGAACCATAGTTACTTCAGTGGCCGCTATTCACCCTTTTCATCTTCTAGAGCACTCAATTATCAAGGAGTGAGACAGTCGAAATATCTCTTAATGGATGAGGACGAAGATGGATCTACAGCAAATGAAAATTCAAGGCTTTTAACGCCTAAATATCCGACTGTCGATACAACGACAACTTCAATAGCTGGATCAGATGGAAACGAATAAACATTCCTGCATGGCCAAATTTGCGAATTTTTGGAGGCGGGATGTGGGGGGGGGGGGGGGACTCTTTCTCTCTCTCTTAACTTTGCGGCCTTAATTTCACTTATAATTGACAAAAACGCTAAGAATTCAAAGAATGATGGGTTAAAGACAGTGTAACATTTCATTTTTATACATAACGTTAATTAACAAACTCCTCCCATGTATTTTTGGACATTTGGTTTTGCTTCGTTTATATATCTCACGGAAAGAAAAAAAACAATATTCGTGTATATCTATTAAAAAAAACAATATATTATCTTGAAATGTGTGAATAGCGGGGTTTATTTTAGTGTGTTTGAAGCCAATCAACTCTTTTTCATGAAACATGAAACCCGTGGGACGACTGTTGTTGTATTCCACTTTTAATAACGCAACTTTTACGGTGCAGAATTACTCAGCACCATTAAGGCATGGCTCTTTTGAGGAAATGATGGAAAATCAGTCATTTATTCATATCTTTGACAGTTTATAATGAATCTTTCTCAATTTTGGCTCGTAGTAGTAATTCTTCAAGGCAAGCAATTACCACATATGTGTTACCATGGAAACCATGTCACGTGACCACAAGGCCGCCATCTTGGATTTTTTAAACAAGCCTTTTGAAGTCCTATTGAAAATACTTCAAAAGTCCTGAAAATCCATATTCCTTTTTATATTTGCATAGCCTATATGGATCTAATTGGATATCTTGGAAATTATATTAAGTTTAAGTTTTAGAATATTTTCAATTTTTTGGAAAAAATAGAAAATATTCTAAAAATTAAATTTAAAATATTTTCCAAAATATCCAATTAGATCCATATAGGCATTGTAAATATGAATAGTAATCTGCATTTCATGACTTTTAAAGATGTTTCGGTACGTATTCAAACGGCTTGTTTAAAAATCCAAGATGGCGATCTGGTTGTCACGTGACTTAGTTTCCATGGCAACCAAGGCTTTAAGTCTCCTTTTCACAAAAGACATTAACTTGCCAAGTTTGGGTAAGATTCGTAGAAAACTGGCTATGATATAGCTAAACAGTTTTTCATCTGAGAGCCATGCCTTAATGATGCTGAGTATTTAAAATTAGAATTACTAGTTTGCTTTAAGTCTATATTTTTGTATGTTTTTCATAGTCAAAAGTGAGGTTTAATTTTTTTGCTTTAATCTTAAAACTAAACCAAACTATTAGGTATTGTAGAAGTACCTAGCATTTCATTACTATGCTCATACAATTATCGTTCCTTGAAAAATATGTTGGTAGTACTAACCTTTTAACATGTACTCTAATGAGAAATAAATATTCAGTGGAAACTAGTTTCGTTTAATTCAACCTCTTCAGTCCACTGTATTATAATCCGTTAGGAAAATTACAAACACGCGAACAAACACTAAGGGGCGCGCGCTCTAATCAAATTAATTTATTGTTGCGCGCGCAATGTTGATAAAGTTCCATTCGTTTTTTAGTGTTTATTTTAGGTCTTTCTCTGTCGATCTTCACCTCTTCGCTTACTTGTCTGAGGCCCCGTCCACACGTATCGGCAAATTTTTTTTTTTGCGGATACGAGTTGCGTCCACACGTGTCCGGAAATTTTTGTGTCCGTATTCGCAAATTTTACGAAAACGGATATGTGTGTACAGTGAAAACGATTCGAATACGCTGCGTGTGAACGCAAACATTTTCGTATCCGCAAAAAATAATTTGCGGATACAAAAATTTCCGGATACGTGTGGACGGGGCCCGAGTAGTGCATCTCTCTGAAACAATTCTGTTACATTACACGTGTAGTCTGGTATAGTTCCCTGATGTTTTTCTTTAGCGTGCTTCCACAATACTGATCCTTCATTTTTGGAGTCCATCTCCCGCAAATATTCTTTTCCTCTTGTATATGTGTTGAGGGCTGTCTCTCCTATGTACTTCTGGTTGCACTCGGTGCATTTAATCTCGTATGTGGCATTAGCAGCTTTACAGGGGACTTTCCCTCCCGTTTGGCATACAATACAATCTTCTCTGCTACACTTCTTSTCCTTGAGCGGATCTGATCGTTGCAATATTCTCTTCACACTTCACGACGGTCGGTTGCTAGGGCTTTTTCTCCCTCTGCCCTCAAAATTGAGAGTTTTAGGCCATAGACAGAAGCTCAAGATATCAAATGCGACAAAACTTGGCAGGGAAGTAGGTTGATAAATTATCTTATAATTAACTTCGGTTTCATCCCATGTGACTGCTATTGTGACGTCATAAATCATGTCCAAATTTGGCATAAGAATAGAAATTCACGAAAGGAATAGTAAAAAGTTAAAATAGTTTTCTGCATAGAATTCTATGATTTCTGGTGAAAACCCGATCTCATTCGGATACAATGGCGTGAAATTACAGCTAATGAAAGAAATTCGAATTTCCCGCCAAATGACCATATATGGTCAAACTTTAGGGGTATTTAAACGGCCAGACAATGAATGTTTTGGCACAGGGGCAACGACAAGGTTGTATAAAATCAAAATTGTAGTTTTTTTGACTTGAGATTTATAGGGCTATGACGCGTCTTTCGTCAATATGACGTCACAATACGTCATTATGAGGTCACGATGACGTATTGCGTGATGAAAGACGCGTCATAGCCCTATAAACCTCAAGTCAAAAAAACTACAATTTTGATTTTATACCACCTCGTCGCTGCTCCTGTGCCAATACATTCACTGTCTGGCTGTTTAAATACCCCTAAAGTTTGACCAAATATGGTCATTTGGCGGGAAATTTGAATTTCTTTCATTAGCTGTAACTTTACGCTGTTGTATCCGAATGAGATGGGGTTTTCACTGTAAATATGCTCTTTGTGTAGCAAAAATATCTATAACATTTTTAACACTGCTTTACAAATTTTAAACGTTGTTACTAAAAATAGGTGTTACTTATGACGTCATAATTACAAGAAAAGTCTAAAATACCGTTACTATTGTAAAATTTTTTAAAAAWTTTTTTTCTAAATAACATGTTTCAATGTCTTGCTTTATTTAGAATAAAAACTACACCTCTGTAAGCCAAAATGTGAATTTAAGACCCTTGCGGGAGAAAAAGCCATAGCAACCGACCGTCGTGCTTGTACCAGCTTTCTCGATGATCTTTATCTTTATGCTTGAATCTTTCACATCCTTTTCTAATCTCTTCTTCAACTCAGAGTTAGGGAGAGCAGGTACGAATATAACACTACTGTATCCACCTTTCTTGAACCAGGTTTTCTTTTTAAGTTCTTTCTCAGGCTCTTGTTCTCTCTCTTTCCTCCTCCATTTTTTCGGTCTGTACATCGGTTCTTCTCCTGATTGATTTTTTATTACCATATCCTTGTAAAGATATGGTAATAAAAGATCAAGGATATGGTAATAAGGATATGTTAATAAAAGATCAAAAAAAAAAAAAAAAATAGAAAGAAGCGTCAGAATTAAAAACTTCTTTGGACATGTTTCTTAGAATAGCTTATATTGCGATATAAATAAGTAAAA